TTCTTCTTTTATTTTGTTTCATCTCATTCTTCTCTTCTACCTCATTGGGCCATCCGGATATCTCCATTATACAAGAGCATGATGACATAACAGAAGCTGCTTTGGAATAGGTTTCGTGCACTTACCTAAAATTTTGTTCAAATAAGTTTTATGGTAGCTAGTGATTTAGGCTTTATTTGGACGACTTTCTTATTGTTTCTACAAGTAGCTTTTTAGTACACAAATTTTCTTTTTATTTTTTACAAGAAAGCTGATTTAAAAAACAACAAAAAAGTTGTCCCAAACGGAACCTTAATCTTCATTGTTCCTATGCACAATCTGACTGCAAATTCGTGCTTGAAAATAGCTAATCGATTTTCTTTTGAATGTTAGAAAACAAATTATTTTAAGCGTACAACCATATTTCGTTTCATAGTTAAAATAAAATATTAGTAGGACTTATACAAAGCAAAGCGTCATTATATTTGAACAATTTCATTAAAAGATTAAAGTTTCATTTGTAACAGTTTTCTCATTATTTTTTAAAATAATTTTTTAGTACAAAATCTTTTGAATTAAATTTTTTTGTACTAAAAAGCTGCTTTAGAAAACAATCAAAAAGTTTGTTCCAAACTGAGCCTATGACTTTGGCTTCGTTTGGGACAGCTTTCTTAATTACTGCTTTTCAATTCAATTTTTTAATACAAAAAATTGTTAAACTAAAAATTTTTGTACTAAAAAATAGCTTTAGAAAGAAATAAGAAAGTTGTCCCAAAAAGAGCCTTTGTTTGAGACATTTTTCTTCCTATTTTGCAAAATAGCTCTGGAGAGTAATTTTTTAAAATTATTGTACAAAGTAATTTTCTAGTACATATTAATTTTTTTAAAAGCAACGGAACAAAGATGGTCAAATAGAAATTACAATTGTAATATTAAAAGTAAAGCAGAAAAAAACTATCCTAAACAAAACCTAAAATTATATAATCAATAGAGTTATGTTAAAAAGCATTGCACCAACTACCTTAGACTTATTTCTTTGATGACAAATGGAGCCAATGGTTTTGCTCTTACAATTTCGCATGCTTCTTTATTCCAAAAGTCAAGCTCATTTAAAATATTTGCTACCAATCCGAATATAGCTTTGAAACATTCCTAAATTTCTACTGATCCATAACATATAATTTTGTTATATCATCATGATAATTATCATCATTTAATAATGAATAAATATATACAAATCTAATTCTATGTGATATATTTATCATAATTAAAAATAGACTCTAAATGGCCAGCTTTTAAATATGAATAAATTTAAAAATATATTTTAATTTTGTATTTAAAATAAAAAATTTGTCTTGAAATATATTCTGAAAAATAAATAGGAGTGTTGTTTGCATATGGATCTATAAAATATATTTCTTTATTTTATATTTTTATTGATCTCTTCATGATCAAATCCATAATTTAAACATTATTTTATTTCCATTAATCAACTTGCATATAAATAAGTATGTGCAAATAGTTCTATTTATTTTGTAGTTCATTGTTCTTATGATATTTTATTTACATTAAACACAAAAATTAAGTAAAATTTATTTAATATTTTTTAATTTTAATTACGTCTACAAATTAACATATTTTTAAGAATTTAATAATTTAATAACTAAATTTATTTAATAATTTGTTTGTAATAACTTAGCATGAAATTACCATAATTACAACTAGTAAGATTAAATTATTGATTTACGCAAAGTAAAATAAGAAATTTATGTAAAATTCATATAAATTTAATATTTTCTTGATTACAAATCTATAATATTCTTTTATGCTAATAGTCTATGCATTTCATATTAATAAAAAAAATCTATTAGGTTATTCTTTAGAATTTTAAGTCAAGATGTTGTCAATATTATTACATGTGTGCATTTTTTTTTTCTTTTTGCATTTTTCGGGACTTTTGAGCAAGTTAAATCAAACTCACATGCACATCAGATACTCAAGCAGTAAAGCTATGAACTCAAAACCTCTTGTTATGTAGCTAAAGCTATGAACCAACAGATTAATATTAGCGGCATGTGTTCTAGTTATGCATTTAAACTATTTGATTAAATAGTTAAGATCTTACCAAACTGTTAGATATTACCATAGGGCAAAACTCTGCTTTAATCCAATGGTTACAAACGACAATCTCAAAGAATGTAATCGTTATGAACTTCTTCATAATTTCAAATAAAATATAATGCTACATGTATCTCTTCCTCTGATTGATCACACATGTAATGCTACATACTGCTGTAGACATGTGTCACTCTCACTGATTGACTAAGGAGAGATGAGACTGATCATTTGTCTATGGGCTAGTTCGATGGTGCCGAGTGTGTATTGGACGAGTTAAGCTTGGAGCGAGTTCGTTGCCCCGAGGGAGTTTCGCATGCTAGTGCAGAGCATGGGTAACTTGGTTTTTTTTTTTTTTTGACCCGACCCGCATATCCTTTTTTGTAGTTGAGGTGTTGAGCTACGAGCGAACTGTTAGAGAGAAATTATTCCAAATGAGTGGAAGAGGATAAAACAAGAGGAACTTCTATTATTAAATTTTCTCTCTTACATCCATATGACAAGACTCAATGCATATTTATACTAGTACAATGACATTTCTAGAAACATATTCTAGATATTTCTATAATAAAGACTCAACAACCAACCACCAAGAGTTATTGCATTTTCTAGATTTTGCTTCCATACAATTTACTAGATACACAAAAAACTTAAACATTAATTTTGGTTTATATTTCCAACAACTTGGTCATTAATTTTGGTTTATATTTCCAACAACTTGGTCATTAATTTTGGTTTATATTTCCAACACGAACTTACGGCGAGCTCCCTTTGGTCGTCGTTGTCGTTACTTCCAATCCAACTGCAAAATGGATGGCGAACTCCATCCTGTCGTCGTCGTTGCTTCCGATCCAACTACAAAAGCAAAACGGAGAGCTCCTTGCCGTCGGTTCATTGGCGTCATTGCTTATGATCTACAGATGAACGGCAAGGTCGTCCCGTCGTTGTCATTGCTTCCGATCCAACTGCAGATGAACGACGGCCACTTGTCGGCCAACTGAAAGGCTGCCATATATTTTGGCGACTGAAACTAACGGCCAATTCTCATTTCTTTTTTGTTATTTGCACTTCTACCATTGTAATGTTATTTTTACAAATTTCTTGTGATTCTCCTTGACCATGCTCTTCTCCTATCCTTCTGGCTACAAACCTAATCTCCTATCCAATTCATAATTCTCATTAAGCCAAATGAAGAATAACATGCAACAATAGGAGGGAGAAATTCCAATGAGTCATATAATTTTCAAATTTAGAGCTGAATTATGCACAAACATCTAAAATTTTCTTCACCAAAAAATACAAGCTACACACATCCTAATCATATATCCTTAAGGATTTAAATTAATTGTGAGACACATTATAATTAATAACCCCTAGAGCTCAAAGTGATTCTACATTGAATTCCTTGAGGATCCCTTTTGGTATCTCCAATCTCCATGGTCTAATTAATCATTTACATCAAGATCTATGCAAACTCTAAAGCCTAAATCACCTAGTCTATATATTAGAATTTCAAACATCTATTTATTAATATCGAAATTGAGCTTGCAAACTCCATGAACCCATCAAGCTCACAACCACAATCATATTATGTGGGCACTTGGTCTGTATTTCTTTGATGTTTAATAATCATAATAGATCATAGCTTATATAATAATATTCATCTATGTATATTGAATTTCCAAGTTATGATACTTTCACTATGTTCAACATTATAGTTCACTAGTGTTTTTCTTTTGTAAGTTAAGTTAGAGATCTAATGTGCTTGTGCTAATCAAGTGAAACATTTATCAAATTTCTTAGTGAATATTTTCTTAAATTATCATAACCATCCCTCTCCACTCACTTACATTATGTGTTCAAATGATTATACTTGTAAATTTCATGATTACAAGCCAAGCGACAATATATATTTTATGCTTATAATTTACTCTACCTTCTCTTATCTTATACAGTTCTTATACACCTACACTTTTTATATTTCATGCGAGATTAAGGTTTCATTTGGGACAGCTTTCTTACTGTTTTATGAAGCAATTTTTTAGTATAAAAATTATTTGAATATGAAATTTTTGTACTAGAAAACTGCTTCAAAGATCAATAGAAAAGCTGTCCCAAACGAAGCCTATAAGGACTCTCATGTGCATTATCGAGCTTTACACGCTATTTTATCAATGTAAGGAATGCTTTTGGTTTTGATGTAACTTTTTTTTCTTATTTTCTTCTTTTGACTTCTTTTGCAATATAGAGAAAAATTCAAGTGGTTAAACCTAATAATGCACTTACAATTATTTTATCAACTACATTATCATTTTTATTTTTGGATGAGTGGATTAGTTAACAAATTACAATATCTTTAGGCAAATTTCTGCAAGTGAATTGAATAGTGTCCCTTCTTGGCTTCATAACTTTAATTAGATGAAGTTAATTAAATTTTACAATAATTTAACTCCAGACTTTACTGATTGAGATGCCAATATTATTTCATTTAATTCATTGGAAGATGTCCAATTTGCTGATTCTAACATGTACCAACTACCATACTTATTTCCGAATAGTTACATCAAGCATTTCATTACTTCCAAGGCAAAATTTCCGCTGTGTTATACACATCTCTATAAATTTAGAAGAAGTAATTCCCTCCATGCGGTGCTTAGCAAGGGTCCAGCTAGCAAACAAGCTAAATAAATATTCTCAAGTCAACTTTTAAAGATCAGTTCGTTATGACTGCATCTCCTTGCTTATGAATATATAAACGATCCATGCGACATAACAATCATAAAGAATCCTATCAATCCAAGTTTATTAATTCCACTTTCGAAGCAGTCTCCCATGGACGCCTTCAAAGGCTAGCTAGCATTAATTATAAATATAGGAGCTATGACAGAACTAAGTAGTTATGTAAAATGGCTTCCTTAACACTACTGCTCTCGTTTGCTCTTGCAGCCCTTCTGTTTGGCTTCAGCAATGCACAAGTGATGTTTGGCTTTTACAATTTTGTGTGCCCTAATGCTGAAGCTATTGTTAATGAGGAAATGAAGCATATCATGGCAGTGGCTCCAAGCCTTGCCGGGCCTTTGCTGCGTATGCATTATCATGATTGTTTCGTTAAGGTAATTAACTATAATGCTCCATCAGAGGTTTTGTTTGGGATGGCTTTCTTATTGCTTCTTAAAGCTGCTTTCTAGTTAAAATATTTTTTAATTTTTTAACTAGAAAGTTGCTTTAAGAAGTAATAAAAAAGCCGTCCCTAATGAAGCCTATTTTTGCGTAAGGAAATTGCTTTGTACAGTGCTTTAAAAATGATCATGAATTATAGTTGTTTATTCTTGCATCCCGAGGGGATTAGTCCTTATGAAGAAGCTATTGTTATGAAGTGCAAAAAATTTAGCTCTCTCTCTCTCTAACAAATATTAAAACATTATTAATCAAATAATTATGCGCCCAGGGATGTGATGCTTCAATCCTTGTGAATCCTTCTGCAAAAAAAGCTACAGAGAAAGTTGCGCCACCAAATCTAAGCATTAGAGGCTTCGAAGTGATTGATCGAATTAAGGAGAAATTAGAAGCAGCTTGCCCTGGGATTGTCTCCTGTGCAGATATCATAGCTCTGGTCGCAAGGGATGCAGTGGCCCTGGTACGTGTAATTATGTTTAAATGTATAGATTTACTTCGAATGGATCAGTAAATTCTTGAATGTTCTTATTAAGTTTGCAAAATTTTTTGCACTACGCGCAATTTTTTGTTCCTTTTTTTTTTTCTTACAAGTATTTTAATCCCACGTAACGAAATAAAAGAGGTTGTGAGACAGTTGGACTTGTATGATAAGACAAATTATGCGATAACCCGATCTAATGGGGGATACATACCTCCAGTGCTTACCTTAGATTTGCCCACTGAAAATAGCTTAGATTTCTTAGGCAGGAATGCTCTTAAGTAAGAAGAATTATTCTATGCGGATGTCGAACGCCGTCCAGAGGCCAATACAAATACGCCACATCACCCCCTACTCAGTACCGAGCTCGGTACTGCTTGGTACCAAGCTCAGTATTGCTCGGCACCAAGCTCCGTACTGTTCGATACTGAACTCGATAATGCTCGGTATTAGATGACATGGGGCTGCACCTGATTCACCTCTGGACGGTAAACTGTGTCAGTGTCCGCACAGATTAATCTCTCCTTACGTACATAAAACAATTTCTTATAAGAACGCTCTTACTACTTTGGCAGGCTTTGTTGCCAAGTGGCACAATGTTACTATTAAAACTTTTGGTTTTTTAAGATATTACAAAATAACATATAATTATAATCTTATTTTCAGACCCATGGACCGTGCTACCAGGTAGAAACCGGCAGAAGAGATGGGACCAGATCAGTAGCCCAAGACGTGATCGGTAACCTCGTCCCACCAACTTCCAACATAACTGCTCTCAAAGCCGTCTTCCTTCAAAAAGGCCTTACCTTGAAGGATCTTGTTGTTCTGTCAGGTCATATACACATCAAATATAAATAAATAAATAAATAAAACTTCTATACATATATATAATTTCATGAACTTTATTAATTTTAAAATAAATTTAAAGACTCTTAAGTTCATTTTGACTCTTAGTTTTATCTTTTACATAGAAAATTAACTTCTATTTTCATTTTCTTTGCATGCTAATTGATATAGGAGCTCACACTATTGGAACTTCTCATTGCTCATCATTCTCAAGTAGACTGTACAATGCGACTGGTAAGGGCGACACAGATCCGACGCTAGATAAGAACTATGTGCCCAGGCTGAAGAGCAAATGCAAGCCCAACGATCAAAAAACTCTGGTGGAAATGGACCCTGGCAGTTTTAAGACATTTGATGTTGGCTACTTCAAACAAGTTTCGAAGAGAAGATCCCTTTTCCTCTCAGATGAAGCTCTCTTGCACGACAGTGAGACGAGGAGCTATGTGGAGCGCCAGGCCATGGCAAGCCCTGATGAGTTCTTCAGAGATTTTGCTGCGTCTATGGTCAAAATGGGAAGGCTAGAGGTTCTCACAAATGAGAAAGGTGAAATCAGGAAGAGGTGTGGGTTTGTTAATTAATTAATATGAATGGTTGAAATAATATTGTGTTGTCATCACTTGTTATTGTTTGTGAGAAGATAGAGAACGAGAATGATTTTTCTAATGATTATTTAAGCTGTTATGAGTAAGATTATGAATGTCTTACTGATAATTTATGCATTGAAGAAAAGTGGGATTTTGAATAATATTTGATTACTGATTATTTATACCAAGCACGAGCATGCTTGATAGCATATGCCTAGCTGGGTGAATACGATCGATGGAGATTGGGCTGTGCAAATTGGTTCATACGAGTGTTTGTTTGAAGTCGCCGTGCTCGCGCTAGCGTATCAGAGGTTCATTGCAAATATTATATGAAAAAGAAATTGATTTCTTACAATTTTTAAATTAATTGACACCCTTGTTGAGTCAAAATTACTTATTTATGATATTTAGAAAAAAAAAAAACTATTGAATGAAAATCAGTTTTGGAAAGAGGATGTTGAATTAAGGTGAACTTTGAAGTGTGTGTTGTTTGGATATTCAGCAGACAAACAGAAAAGATATAAAACATAAGGTTTTTTACGTGAAAAGCTCTGGAAAGGGAAAAATTATGGGGCCATATCCAGTTGAAAGAATTTCACTAATATTTTCTTGAGTTTTAAGAGGTTGACTCATCCTTAAAATTTAGGACGATTAAATTACAATAATCAACTACCAAGTTGAAATTCAGTTGCACACGGATATCAAAATGATGGTATCAAAAAATTGGTGTTCGTTGTTTGTCGGAGAGAGTTCTAATGTTGCTTGGAGGTCAGACGGAACTTCGGTATCACTTGAAAGTCGGGCGAAATTCCGGCGTCACTTAAAAGTCGAGAGAAACTTCAGTTTCACTTGGTCGGACGGAACTCCAGCGACATTTGGAAGTCGGGTGGAACTCCGACATCACTTGAAAGTCAGGTGAAACTCTGACGGTGGTCGAGGAGGAGCTTCTTCCCTCCTCTTCTTCTCTTTTCTTCTTCTTACTTGGATCCTCTCTTAAGAGAAATGATGAGCTATTTATAGTTTTCAGAGAGTGGCATGAACCGTAAATAGGAGGATTAAGGGCAAATTAGGAGTGATTTGGATGGACGATCGTGGACCGTTCGTCAAACATTTAAAGGTCTTAATAATTTTGGAATTCATCGAACATAGGCTCGTTGGATTCGTCTCGTCGATCCGTTCGATTCGACTATAAGCATGTCATGTTTGGAAATCATTTAGTAATCCAAATTGTTGGTTGAACCTTCCAACAGCGCTTTATGTCTTCTATTTAGACTCATTTGGGCTCGGATTGAGTTGAATTTGGTGTCGTTCAGTTTGTATTTTCGAGACTCATAGTTCGACTGTAAGTTTGCTGAAATCGGAGTTCAGATAGTCCCAGATTTAATTTTTGAATCTTCCAACCTGATTTTGCTCAGGATTTGTGCCTTATCAAGATAATTTTTTGATGATAAGGTAGAAGGTCCTTAAAGAGACATCCAACCCTCTACTGCTCAAAAAAGCTAAAAAAAAGTCCAAAAAAAAAACATTTGAGAGGCACGGAGAGGCCGGGGAGCACAATCAATGAAATTTTCGGAGCCCACAGGATTGCATACTAAATTGACACTTTTAAAACTCTTATATATGCGTGGTGGAAATTTTATTTTTAAAAAGATTTCGTGCAACATTGAAAAAATTACGAAGCAAGAGTTTTGTTTTATGAAATTTTAACGACACATGTAATTACTCAGAGGTTGAAGGAAAATAAAGCCAAATTCAGCCTGCTTGCAGTCGGTTTGGTCGCGTCTGGCGGGCTGGGGCCTGTGGTGGAGCGCGCATTAAGGAGGCAGCTGCAGCTGTTGTGCAATTGATTTTTTTTTTTTGCATAAAATTTCCGGCGTATAAAAATTTCGACGAAAATATTTTTCCAGTGGAAATTTCATCGGAAATGCGTCGGAAATATTTCCGACGCATTATTTTGCGCCGGAAGTCCTTTTACGACGCGCGTGAAACCGGCGCAAAAATTTTCGCCGGAAATCCGCCGGAAATGCTATTTTCTGACGGATTTTGGCCATTTTTCCTACGAAAATGTTCGTCGGAAAATGACGTTTTTCCTGTAGTGTTACATTATTCTATTTTGTGATTATCAGTTCAGTGAATTATTTAAACTACAAGTAACTGTTTTTAACTCTTCAGTAAAATATTTGATATAAAATAATATTTGGAAATTTAGATTGGTTTGTGTGACTTGCTGAGCTGTTATAGCTCACGTGGTTTTATTCATGGTTTTCAGGATCTGGAAAAGGGAAAGAGGTTGTGGACTAGCTAAGGATCTGATTTGAAGTTATAGGTATATTGCTATTTTGATTTTAGTACAGTCATGACTAGTTTATTTTCAGTTCTGTAACCCCTGATTGTAGCTATGGACTATAGTGTATATGATTATTTTGATGAATGTAAGAAACTTTATGGATGAGTTTTTCAGTATTTGAATATTTTAGTAGCTCTGTGGATCACCATTATTTTAATGAATATCGACAAAAAATCTGAAACAATTCCAAAATTAGATCATAGGGTTAGCCTATCACGGCTCAACATGATAGGCCTATCCAGATCGGGTTGGGTTATGACATGCATGACCCGTAAATAGGAGGATCAAGGGCAAATTGGGAGTGATTTGGATGGACGGCCAATATTGAATCCCTTGATCGTGGACCGTTCGTCAAACATTTGAAGGTCTTAATGATATTGGAATTCATCAAACATAGGCTCGTTGGATTTGTCTCGTTGATCCGTTCGATTCGACTATAAGCGTGTCATGTTTGGAAATCATTTGGTAATCCAAATTGTGGTTTGAACCTTCCAACAGTGCTTTATGTCTTTGATTTAGACTCATTTGGGCTCAGATTGAGTTGAATTTGGTGTCGTTGGGTTTGTACTTCCGAGACGCTCAATTCGACTGTAAGTTTGCTGAAATCGGAGTTCAAATAGTCCCATATTTAATTTTTGAAGCTTTAACCTGATTTTGCCTCAGGATTCGTGCGTGATCAAGATAATTTTTTGATGATATATCAGCGCTAATATTCAAAAACAGTACAAGGTTCTTAAAGAGACATCCAACCCTTTACTGCTCAAAAGAGCTACAAAAAAAGTGCAAGAAAAACATTTGAGAGTCACGGAGAGGCCGGGGAGCACAATCAATGGAATTTTCAGAGCCCACGGGATTGTATACTAAATTGACACTTTTAAAACTCTTATATGGTGGAAATTTTATTTTTAAAAGGATTTCGTGCAACATTGAAAAATTACGAAGCAAGAGTTTTGTTTTATGAAATTTTAACGAGACACGTAATTACTCAGAGGTTGAAGGAAAATAAAGCCAAATTCAGCCTGACCTACACTCATAAAGAATGAACTCCACTATAGTGAGTTCAATCATTCGTGAGTATCAGCTAACCAGATTTTTTCCAAAGAAAAATGGTCAATACTCTTTCAAGGATATAGACTATAACCATCTTTAGTCTTTTGTTACTCATTGACTTTGTTTTTTATTCATGATAAAGAAGTTCTTACACTAGATACAAACCATTCCAAATTGGCTCTTATGTCCATGCATGAATGCATAGGGAAATAAACGCACACTATAACATGAAAATATTTAGCTCACTTCTCTCTCTCTCTCTCTCTCTCCAAGCTTTAGCATGGTTCCTCCACCGACGATGCTCATCTAAGATAAAGTAGTTGACCTCTTGATGGGGACTATCCTAACCTTCAGAAGCACCAGCACTGTTACATTCTCAACCTCAGTCGTTTTCCTTTCTATTATGCTCGTTTCATGTATTTTCGCCTTTTCCTTTTACTCATTTGAAATAGCAAGTTAGTTAGTAAAGGGAATATATATACCTCAAAGAGATTGAGCTATATGATGATATATGAAAATTACTATTCCATTACTGTTCTATCAGTTTTTTGTGTTTTAAGTTCACTTACAGGCATTTTTATAAACTTTTTGCCTTTTAAAATTTTGAAATAGCTCTTTTTATTTCATATTCGAATAACAAACATTAATTTTTATGTCTATAAAGCATACAACCATGAATATAAATAAAATAAATAAAATAAAAAATACAAGTAGTTCTAACAACGTAATTAATTAAAAAAAAAAAAAAAGATTATTCTTTATTTGTTAAAAATTTTTATTATACTTTGCTACGGCCATCCATGGTAAGATCTTTTTAAATCAAATTATTATTATTATTATTGTTGTGTCCAGGAGTATTCGTGGCGGTAGAGAAATATAAAGTTTAACGTCTTAGCATTGTACAAAAATCCGGCATACAATTAAATAAAAAGAGAGGGTGCATCATCCATTAGAGACACCAAGATTTTTACGTAGAAAACCCCTAAAAAAGGTGGAAAAATCACTGGGCCTAGCCCAGTATGAATGAATCCGCAAGTGTTGTAGTTGATTATAAATGAGGTCCTTCCTCAGAGGAAGGCCTTAGCTTGAGGTACATCTTATAGAGTATATTTCATGGTGAGAATGCAATGCATCACTGTTGAAGTGTTTGCTTGCTCTGAAGGGCTGTAGTCGGCGGGTGACGAATGTAAGAATGATGGTGTCAGGTAGACATCCAGTAATGAACATAAATCTCGCATCAGATAGATGTCCGATGAAAGTCCGACAACAGGCAGAAATCCGACGTGGGGTAGATACTTGGTGACGAGCGAAGGTCCAACGTCAGGTAGAAGTTGAACGTCAGTTGGAGGCTGAGGAGAACTCCAACGTTAGATGGTATTCGGGCAGAACTCCGGCGTCACTTGCAGTTCGGGTGAAACTCCAGTGTCACTTGGAGGTCAGGCGGAATTCCGACGTCACTTGGAGGTAGGGCGGAATTTCGGCGTGGTCGAGGAGGAGTTTCTTCCCTCATATCATTATCTTCTTCTTCTCTTGCTTCTTGCTTGGGGCCCCCTCTCATGAGAAATGAGGAGTCTATTTATAAATTTTCTGGAGTGGCATGGCCCGTAAATAGATGAGAGATCAGGAGGATATATGAAGTGGTTCAGATGAATGACCGATATTGAATCCTTCGATCGTGAACCGTTTATCAGACATTTAAAGGTTTCAATGATGTCGGAATTCGGCGATCTTGGGCTCGTTGGATTCGTCTCGTCGAGCCGCTCGATTTGACTATAAGAATGTCATATTTGAAAACCGTTTGGTAACTCAAATTATGGTTTGAACTTTCCAACAACGCTTCGAGTGCTTGATTTTGACTCATTTGGGCTCGGACTGAGTCAAATTTGATGTCGTTGGGTCGTATTTCCGACATGCTCAGTTTGACTGTAAGTTTGTTGAAATCGGAGTTCAAGTAATCCCGGATTAAATTTTTGAAGCTTCCAGCTTGATTTTGCCTCGAGATTCGTGCCCGATCAAGAGAATTTTTTGAGGATATATCAATTATTATAATAGTTTTTAATTTATTAATTTATATGCAAATGTAACAATCTCAAGACATTTGTACTATGGATTCTATGGTAGAAAAAAAAACTATGGACTCTATAGAATTAAATTTTGCATCTCAATGATCATGCATTGAAGAGTAGACACCATATCAGTTTTTCAATCTTAGAGAAAATTGAATTTTTGTATTTTTCATAATGCAACAACCATTATTTATTCACTGGATATATCAATTATTATAATACTTTTTAATTTATATGCAAATGTAACAATCTCAAGACATTTGTACTATGGATTCTATGGTAGAAAAAAAAACTATGGACTCTATAGAATTAAATTTTGCATCTCAATGATCATGCATTGAAGAGTAGACACCATATCAGTTTTTTAAATCTTAGAGAAAATTAAGATTTTGTGTTTTTCATAATGCGACAACCATTATTTATTCACTCTCCTGCAATTATGCCGGATCTCTCCTTCTTTCCCCGTTAGCACATTTACCTCACCCAATTTTATCATGGACTGTGAAAACTGTTTCCTAAACAACTTTGGTCTGTCGACATATCGGCTTACTATTTTATTTGTAACATTGGTGAATGCTAATTGCTGGTCTAGCTGGAGAATAGCCTTTGCATCGAGCACATTTTTGAAGAATGATTGATCCAGCTTGAAAGGAGTTGAAGTGCCTTCGTTCATGAAAATATTCGGATCTATACTAATATTTTGGAGTGTTGAAGCAGGGCATTTCTGTCTTAACCTGTTGAGCAAGTTACTGTCCATCTCATGATCAGGTAGGCCAGTGCCTTTGAAGTTGTAGAGCCTGTCAATGAAGAAACCACAATGGCAGAAGCCGATGCTATGAGCACCTGAAAGAGAGGCAAATGTAGTACCATGGTATCAATGATTGTAAGTATATAATGTGGTTATGATATCTTTTGTAATGCTTTATTTTAAATATTTAATTAAAATATGATAGGCTATTATCATAAAGAAGAAGCTGGAAGTGATGGTAGGTTAATTTGAGCAACAAAGGATTAGCAGCATATTCAAGTTCTATTTCTATTGAAACATGAATATGTTTATAGTGACATTAATCAATAAATAAATTTTCATATCTTCAACTCATGATTTTTATTAGGCATGTTAATATTTAACACAACCCGAAAATCCGACTCGAACCTGATCCGAAAATTCCGGTTTAGGCTCAACCTAGACATGAAACGGGTCGGGTTCGGGTTCAGCAAATCGACCGGTTTCAAAAACCGGGTCCGGTTTGGGTTGACCCAGAAACCTGAAATTGACCCGCTTTTGACCCGAAAATCCTATTTTGAGCCGGAAACATGAGATTGACCAATTTTTTACCTGCTTTTGACCCAAAAATTGAAATTTGACCCATTTTTTGACCCGAAAATTAGAAATTTTTGGTCCATCCGAGATCATTCGGGTCATGTCGGGTTGACCTAGACCTGAAGCGGGTTGGGTTTGAGTCCCAAAAAAAGATCCGCTTGCAAGAACGGGTTGGGTTCGGGTTGACCCGAATTGTGTTGGGTCAGTTTCGGGTTCAACCCGAACCCAACCCGTGACCCGAAATTAACACCCCTAATTTTTGTGTGTTCCTTCTTATTGTAATAAGGAGATGGATTAATGTGCCTTTGTAGCTACTTTTGATGATTTTCATTAGGATGTTGCTTCCTTTTTTGATCTTCCGTCATCTTTTACAAAGATGGCCATGGAGGATTGTGATAGACTTGCTATGACCTGGTTTTTGTATTTCTTTACTATCCTCAACTAATGATTTTTAACAATCACAAAACATCAAATTTGATTATTTGAGCAAAATGCTAGTGCTCGATCAGAAGCCAAGAAACAATTCATTTTTTTAATGGTTATCTATCAAGTGTGAATTCATAAAGAGTAATGCATCGGCATTTTTTGATCTCCAAGGAGATTAAATTGTAGGCCCGTTCATTATTTAGATATTCTTTTATCAGGCTTATCAAATTTTGTATGGAACTTTTGGCTATTTTGGCTTTGGTAGTTTTGTTTTCATTCATAATTTCATATTTGTCCTATCCTGTTACTGACCTTCACTCAAAATGCCTAATCAATTGAATTTATTTTTCAATATCCCCTCTTAAATAGGTATTTTTCAGATATCCTCCTTAGTTTAAGTATTCTTTACTTTTAACAGTATCTGACTTCTCTTATTTTTACTGAATTTTGTTGATTGATGAATTCTCTGCCGCTTCAATTGCAGCCCACATTTCCATTGGATTTGGATACTCTGCAATCCACGTTGAATTATTGGGGAAGTTTCTAACAGTTTTTTTTTTTTTTTGGGTCAACCTCACCCGATTTTTAAAGAATTAATCCAAATCCCTGCTGTTAACAAATATTTAATATCCATAAAAACAGCATAGTTACGAAATTGAATTTTGCAAGCCTAGTATGAAATAATGTCACCAATGAATGTTTCTTAAGTGAGTTCTAATTTATATATGCACGCAGCCATGGCAATTTAAAAAGCTATGAAGCATTGAAACACTGAATTCCTGCATCAAAAGCTCATACCCTCAAATAAGTATAAGAACTTTACCTAACAACGTAGTGAGATCCACCAAATCAAGCTTGATGCTCTGGAAATCAGCCAAGGCTTGGGAAACGGTGATGGAAGGACTTGGTATGTGAAAATCAGCCATCCTGGAGACGGTCCCATCCCTCCTTCCAGTCCGCAGAGCATAGGAAAAGCCTCCAGAAAAAGCTACACTGTCCCTTGTTGCCAATGCCAGTATGTCAGCACAGGAGACTATTCCCGGGCATACTTTCTCAAGTTCAGTCTTTATATCATCGATCACTTCGAACCCTCTAAGTGAAAAGTTTGGGGGAGCCTCCTTTTCTGCTATGTTATCATCAGTGCTGTCGATGAGTATTGAACCATCACAACCCTGTACGACAGACAACATAGCTCTTTCATTTGCTTTGGATGGAAGAATGATGAAATGTGAAAACAAAGGAGATTGGAGGTTACTGTGGTGAAACAATCATGGAAGTGAAGGCGTAGAAGTCTAGCAGGAATTGATGGGTCTTGTTGAATATGCCTGTGCAGCACAGCTCTGACGATGATCTCAGCTTTGGGGCATGTTTTTCTGTAGAAGTGAAGCTCTAAAGAGAAGGAAAAGGAAACAGAATTGGCTAGAAGGAGAAGAACTATGGTGAGAGCTGCCATTAAAGAGTAGATCTAGTCTCTGTCAATACAGAAGAAGTTGACACTTAAAGAATTGGGTGGCTTCTATGGGAGGAATGCAGTTTATAAATGCCATGAGATTCTTTAGAAGCTGTTAAAGTTGCTAGTATGCGTTCTCCTTACCTTTCCGCTTTCTTAGGATTCAATCTTTCGCTCTGCGACGAGAGTGGTAAGCACATGGAATCTCAGGACTGCTCTATTTTTTTTACTTATTTTGCTGAATTCGGCATGAGCTGAAGCCCACCCAGTTACCATTACTATGTAATATCAATATATTTGACTTAAATTCGACATCATTTTTCAAAATATTTTTGTAAATGGGACTGCTGAGCTATTGTTTATAAGCTTTCGTCGTGCCTTATTCATTAATTTAGGTATTTTTTTTTTGGGACATTTAGGTCATTTAAGGCAAACTCACACACACAACGCATACACATAGACTCGAATCCTGAACCTCTTAGTTGGAAGTCTAAGCTCTCAACCAATAGGCCAATGAGAGTTGTGTTAATTTAGGTATTTGGAATGGCTAAGCTAAGCTAACTATATTGGTGTCAGTGCACATGACATGTGGTTTAATTATCGTGGCGCATTTATGCGTTCAAGAGGGAGAAGGGGAATTGTCAGACGGCTATATATCAAGACTGCTGATTAACATCCGACATATATATTGTGGTATTTTGTTCATGATGGCGTCATGAACCTAAATTCCATCGATTAAATCATGGTTGTTGCAATGTGCTCGCGGATCTAAGATGCCTAGGCAGTTGATAGATTTTAGTTTAGCCTTCTCAATTATAATTTCTATTTCATTAATTTTAGTTAAGGGGCTATTTAATTACCTGCGAAGGGAGTATAAATTTCAAATGCAGGGATTTTTAAAAATATTAGTATTTGATTTGAAGTAAAATAAATACAACATAAAATTTTGATGTATTTGAAATTCATTATTTAATTCAATTTTTGTGTATTTGAAATTACTCCAATTTGGACGAGTTCCAAATACATTGAAAAATCATTGCAATTAGCATCGTTTTCCTCCTCTATGCTTCGTCACCAATCACCGGCCGCCACAGGCAATCGCCGCCACCGATAGTCGCCGACTACAATTGCCGCCACCCGCCATTGCCGACCACCGCTGCCATGCATTGGCCACCCGCCACAAGCTTTCCACCTCCGACCACCACCTTCCATCACAATCGGCTGTCCACAGTCAGCCATCGACCACTACTTCTATGCACTTTACATCACATTTATTTACTTTTAAAAAAAATATCATGCATTCCTTTTACAGCGCTTTACTTTTTCAAGCAACCAAACAACCCCTAAGCCTAGACAGAAACTTGTGAATCATGAGTGTTATTATTTTTTGTTCCTCTTTCATCTGTTATTATTTCTAATTCATTCATGTACTCTAATTATGATTTATGGTAATGAAATAAAATTTTAGTTTATTTTCCTTTATATATATATATATATATATATTCATGTTAACTATGATCAGATTGTCATAGTAGCTTATGACATTAAAATTTTTATTATTATTGGTTTTGAATTATGGCTTTATTTACAATAGCCTATATAATTACACTTCCTCTAAAATTTCAAAGATTATAAAATAAAAAACTCTCTCTCATTTTTATATCTTAGATTGAGGTTATTTTTTAGTTTGGGTGTTAAAGGGATATAGTGAATACATATATTCATGTTTCTTAGAATAGTCCTTACATACTGCAAATTCTATTTGGCTCTTATTGCATCCTTAGAAATGGTTGCTCATGATATCTTAAAGCGCCAACTAAAAAATAGAATTTATTTTAAAGGAACTTTATCGAAGAGGACTCCACAACCTTTTAGTTCGCATATTTTAAATTTTGGCAAAAGGACTTCTGTAACCGTTTTAATTATATCAACACGTAGGCCTCTACTGGAGTTTTAACTAAAAAAATGCAATATATTCATTGATGTGAGGTAAACTTCGGTGTTCATTTTATTTCTTTATTTACGTATAATATTTCGGCATTCTTTCTAAAGAGAAGAATATGATGCTTGGAGAAGTTCTTTGTGTTGGTTAATTTTCTATTATTAAATTTATTTTATTTTATTTCAAGCTATTTCTTGATTCTAACTTTTTATTCACAAATAAAAATAATTTAGATTTTAAACCTTTGTGTTATTTTACCTAACGACACCGACATGATACATGAACTGCTACATTGAGTTCGAACCTTTACCTATAACGACTATGTTGAGCCACACAAGAAGACAACATAGAAATTCACTATGTTGATTTTAAGACAACGTTAAATCTTGTTATATTCCTAATAGAATATTTCTCTACACTGAGGATTTAGATGAAACGCCAAAAGATAAAAAATGGAAGAATTTCATTTTTTTTAAGATTTTTTTTTTCAATTATATTTTTCAATTCCTTTAAAAAATTAGATTATTGATAACCAGAACTAACTAATTGCATTCAAGAAGAAAATATAAACAACAATGACAACATCAACAACATCAAGCCTTTATCCCACTATATGGTGTCGGTAACATGAATCCTTGTTAAAAGTTAAATTCTCATTTAAACCTAATAAAGAAATATCATTTATAATATTTTCTATTCAAGTCTTTTTAGGTCTACCAATACCTTAACATAAGTCAAATCTAATCCATCAATTTACCTAACCGAGACATCAGAAGGTTGTAATTTTATGTGACCAAACCATACATCTAAGGCGACTCTCTCTAATATTATTTTCCACTAGACCTACTCCAACCTTTTTATGTATATTATCTTTTCGTATCTTGTGTCTAAGAGTAAATCCACTCATCCACTTGAGCATCCTCATCTCTACAACATTTAACTTAATATTATGCTATGGTCAACATTTTGCACCATAAAGCAATGTAGGTCTAAGCACCATCTTATAGAATTTTCCCTTTAAGTTTGAGGGGGACTTTTTTATCACACAACAAGCCCGATGCACTCCTCCACTTCAACCATCGAAGTTGAATTATACTAATAACATCCCCATATATTTCACCATCTCTCTGAACAACAGACCCAATATATCTAAAATATATACTCTTATTTATGATTTGATCAACCAAAGTCAGAATCACCCCATACAAGAACTATTATTACAAAAAAATAATTATATTTTCATAGTCAATATTTACATCTTAATTTAAAGGCCAATGTCCAAAAGCATATACATATTAGCCATCACATGCTATAAAAGAATACACATAAAACAAAAAAGAAACCAAAAATTGAAAGGAAAACTACATTATCTTTTGAATTGGGATAGCGGAGGTTCTTTTGGTAAATCGATGCATGAGCTGAGGCTCACATGTCCCGCCGAACCTCCAAAAAAGTAAGGTCATTAAATGGCTCATAGGGAGTCAGAAGCAAGTAGAGTCGTAAATACATTACAGACTTCAAAGATTCACGCATGCTTAGGTACCGCCGATCATACCGCAAACACAGACACCAGTACATGAGGATGGCATATCAACAGGTCTGATTTCAATTGTTCATTTAGACTTAACTAATTATTTCTCCAATTCAACTGGAAATAGTGACAAATTGAAGCTCTGCTCCGACACTAAAAAAGGAACTTCCTAAGAAATATATATCAAACCATCATCAATGCTTAACCTTACTCTACAAGTGTCTTACATTTACCTGAAATCATATAAAACTACATAATGACCATAAAAGTCTAGAAAGTAACTAAAACTTGACACTACATTTAATACAAGATAAAAAGATAAACATTCCTGCTCTAGTCAATGTCAATATCAATCAATAAGCTATTAAAATGAACATTTTGTAATCTACGAAGTCAATATCAATCAATGATAAATCCAATATGATTAATTAGTAAAGTTGAAAGAAGTATATAACATCATAATACAAACTGGTATAAGACTCCATCAATATGTAATGTCATTATGTTATGCTATGTTCTATCATTATTAATGCTACTCCGATAAATTTTATATCAATTGCATAAATGAAAGTAGCTCAATGTATTATCATATTAATACAATGATGAATGTGATAATGAAGAGCAAGACAGCACATCCAACTTTAATATAGTGTTTTCATTTTCCCACCATATTTATAGACCAGTTAGTCATAATTCCTTAATTTAACCCCTAACTGTTAACCAGTTGGTCATCAGTCTTTATCTTAGGTATCGCCGATCATACCGCAAACACAGACACCAGTACATGAGGACGATACATCAACAGGCCTGATTTCAATTGTTATTTTAGACTTAACTAATTATTCTACCAGTTCCACTAGAAATAGTGACAAATTGAAGTTCTGTTCTGACACTAAAAAAGGAACTTCCTAATAAATCTATATCAAACCATCATCACTGCTTAAACTTACTCTACAAGCTCCTTACATTTATCCAAAATCATATAAAACTACATAATGATCATAAAAGTCTAGAAAGTAACTAAAACTTGGCACTACATTTAATATAAGGTAAAAAGATAAACATGTCTGCTCCAGTCAATGTCAAAATCAATCAATAAGCTATTGATATGAACATTTTGTAATCTACGAAGTCAATATCAATCAACGATAAATCCAATATGATTAATTAGTAAAGTTGAAAGAGGTATATGATATCATAATACAAACTGGTCGGTATAAGACTCCATCAATATGTAATGTCAGTATGTTATGCTATGTTCTATCATTATTAATGCTACTCTGATAAATTTTATATCAATTGTATATATGAAAGTAGCTCAATGTATTATCATATTAATACAATGATGAATGTGATAATGAAGAGCAAGACAGCACATCCAACTTTAATATGGTGTTTTCATTTTCCCACCATATCTATTGACCAATTAGTCATAATTCCTTAATTTAACCCCTAACTATCAACTAGTTGGTCATAAGTCTTTATCTTATCATATGTTCCCCCCACCCCCCCCCACCTTCTTCTTTTCCTTGTCTTCCTGGCCAAGTCGTCTCAAGCTCGACTCATTAATGAGCTCATGAGTCAAGCTTATCGAGCCAAGGGTTCTAGCTTGAGCTCAGCCTAGCTTTGCACGTAATTTTGTTGAGCCACTCGATTAATTTAATTACTTAAAATATATTTAGAAATTAATTTGAATTAGTATTATATGATATATTTTAACATTTACAAATTAATTTTATATTAAAAAAATCTAAGAAAAAAATAAATTTCTTAAATTTAAACTAAGAAATCAAGTCAAGCTCTAGCTTTTCGAAAGAGCTGGAGCAATCGAGCTAAGCACAAGACTATAAATTTTAGGGACAAGCCTATAAATTTTTTAACGAACTGAGCTCAAGCTTAATAAATGAGCTAGAGACAAGTTGGAGCTCACTATGAGCTAAACAAGCTTAGCTTTATTAGGTCAACAAATACTCCACTTGACTGGACTCAACTTAACTTATTCACACCGCTAGATTATGAATTTATGATACGAGAATTTATGAATTTAATTAATATATTATATATAATTACAGAAATATTCTTACAAAATTTAGGGTCGCTAATTCTGCAACTATCTAAAAAAAGCATTAATGTGATAATTGTCATACAAATACTCTAAAGTAATTATATGACGATCGATGTGCACTAACGGACCATGCGTCTTTAAAAATATGAAATAAAATTGTTATTTTATAAGGACTCAGTCAAAAAACATATTTTAAATAATTGTTAAATTTGTTATTTAATTAGATATAACCAGAAATCAGCATTAACTTAAAAAAAAAATCTTCTTCATTATAATAAATTTAATTCAAGCATATAAAAAATATATGTACAAGAAAAAAATACTATACCTACCCATTGATAATTAGCTTGGTTGGTGGTTGTATGGGTGAGTACGATTGGGAACCCCTAGCTCATGCTCGATTCCCCTCGACCTGCAACGCCTCTTAAATGAAGCTCAATCAAGTGTGGGTCAGATTTCTGGGGAGAGTGCCTCTTCTAGATCAGCCGATGATTAATTAGGCCACCAAGCATTCTTTCCGAAATGGCAACGGGTGGATCCTCAGTTTCCAAAAAATATATTATACCTAAATTTCAAGTCTTTAATCAACAAGTAAATATAACACAACTCTCCTTGGCCTATTGGTTGAGAGCTTAGGCTTCCAACTAAAAGGTTTAGGGTTCGAGTCTATGTGTATGCGTTGTGTGTGTGAGTTTGCCTTAAATGGCCTAAATGTCCTTAAAAAAAAAAAAAAAACCAGTAAACAGATGGGTCCCATGGAAAAGCAAATTCTCTGAATTGCTTGGTTGATTTCAGGCGGTATGGACTTGTATGAATGCCTAGCAACAATAGCAATAGTCTGCAGTCTACACTACAAGTCTTTTGCGTGAAGGACGCGAGCTCCTATAAAAACCAGAGTTTAAGACTCCGAGTCCTGTGTTCAGACGGCCCAAGTCAAAACGTTATATCATTAGCCGTTTCGTAAACTATGATTAATGCTGTGGCTATAGAAGGTCGACCAGGCAAGATTATGTGTCCCTCAGCTTTAATTAAACAAGTTCTATTAATTGAAATTTTTGCAAGACGAAATTTCTAGGCGAATGGTTTTTGTTTCCACGGTGTTACGCACCAATTAATAATTAGTCCAGTTAAACAAGTTGCGGCGACCATGACCAAATCAGAACTACTCAACTTAAACTAAATCCTAATTAATTTTCTAAAGATTAAAATTTTAGGACTACTTAGATTTCATTTGGGATAATTTTTTTACTGTTTTTAAAATATCTTCTTAGAGTTAAAATTAAAACTTTTATGTTAAAAACTATTTTAAGAAGCAATAAAAAAATCGTTCCAAACGAAACCTTGGTCACACCATTACACCATCTTCTTCCCTCTATAAATATCCACCTTGTGTACCTCTGCTCTCAGCATAGTTAAAATCATCCCAATACCATTCGATCCCCCAATCTTCCCAGCTGCAGCCATGTCACGTTTTCTTCCATTACTTGTCCTACTCTCCCCCGCAGCACTTCTCTTCCTCCTACCTCGTTGCACCTCCCTACCTCTCCGAATCAACCTCACCCATATAGATTCCAAATCTCCCAACCTCTCCATGGACGATCGCAACCTGCGAGCAGTTAAGCGCAGCAAGATCCGCATGGAATTCATTTCCTCTACGCTATCAACGTCCTCAGTCGACGTCAGCACCACCGTCCACTTTGCCAACGACGAGTACACGGCGGACTTCGCCATCGGCACCCCTCCCGTTTCCGTCACCGCCATCCTCGACACAGGCAGCGACCTCATATGGACTAAGTGCGAGACAGGTTCCTCTTACAATCCCTCCGCTTCTTCCACATACTCCTCTCTCCCTTGTGGCTCCAACTTTTGCCAGGACTCCATTACGTCCTGCTCCGATGGTAGCACATGCAGGTATTATTTTATTTATGTTTTTTTGTTTTAATTGAAAATTGCTTTGTTGGGAAGAAAATATCGCTAAATGAGGCCCAGCTAGTGGACTCATTTGTGGAAATTAGGAACTAAAATTTATTCAGGTTAAAAAAGTCTTCTTAAATCATTTTTACGAAATTTAAAGATTTCTTTTTTCGTTTTTTACGAGGCAAGAATAAAGATTTAGTCACACAGAATTAGCATTTTTTTGGGCATAAATTATTAATTTTAAAAGTATTTTTTATTTTTTTCATCAAAATTTGGGACTGGTAATTTAGTTTTTATTTATTTAGAGTTGTTTAAGATATTTTATATAATAAAATATTTACTTTACTTTAATATAATGTTATCTTTAAAAAATAGAAACATTAATTTACTAAGAGCCGTTTGATTTAGTCATATCTAAATATAGCCTTACAAACAGAAAATTATTAGATCCGGACACCATATGTAGAGATACGTCTTGTGTCCAATAAAATATTGACATGTGGAATGTACACATGTCCGTGAAATTTTAATTCAAGTGCGCCAAAAGCATAGGAAAAGTGCAGGTAAAGCGTATGTAAATTGCAAGTAAAGCACAATCTAAGTGCGGCCAAAAAGCACATTCAAAATACAGTCCACGTGACAAATTTTAATGAATATCCGGACCTATTTATTAGGTGTCCGGACATAATAATTTTCCCTTACAAACACACTTCCCTGTAATATCATGGGTGATTTTTTCTCCTAAGTCATAAAATATAGTGCAAATATAAGAAAGCCTGGCATGACTGATGATCAGTACGTCAAAACGTAAATTTTCGTTTGTTAATTCTCTGGGATTCAAAAATACATATTGATGCGTCATGCAAAAATTAGCTTAATCGGGCACGAATCTCGAGGCAAATGGCTAGTTGGAAACTTCAAAATTTAATTTCGGGAGCATCCGAACTCCGATTTCAGCGAGCTTACAGTCAAACTGAGCGTCTCGGAAATACGAACCCAACGAAACCAAGATCAACCCAATCCGAGCCCAAATGAGTCCGAATCAAGAGCTCAAAGTGCTGTCAGAAGGTTCAAACAGCAATTTGAGTTACCAAAATGGTCTTCGATTTTGAAGAGCCTATACTCGAATCGAACGGCTCGACGAGACGAATCCAACGAGCCCAAGATCGCTGAATTCAGACATCATTAAGGCCTCCAAATATCTAACGAACAGTGTATGATCGAAGGGTTCACTATCGGCCGTCCATTCAAACCACTCCCTATTCGCCCTAGATCTCACACCTATTTACGGGTCATGCCACTCCAGAAAATCTATAAATAAAGCTCTCATTTCTCATAAGAGGGAGGCCGAAGCAAGAGAGAGAAGAAGAGAAGAGAAGAGAAGGAAGAAGCTCCTCCTCGACGGCTGCCGGACCACCGCCGGACCACCGCAGAAGTCCCGTAGATTTGCTACATCAATCCAATGCCTTCTCCCAAGGAAGGGCCTCATTTGTAATCGACTGCAAATACTAGTGGATTCATTCAAACTGGGCCAGGCCCCGTGGTTTTTCCCCCTTTTTAGGGGTTTTCCACGTAAAAACTTTGGTGTCTCTTATGAATGCTACACCCTCTCACTTATCTGTTTGTGTGCTGAATCTTCGTACAATGCTAAGACGTTAAACTAAATATTTCTCTACCGTCGCGAATACTCCAGGACGCAACACATATAATGGATCACAGAAATGTTCCCTAATCATTGATGAATCAAAGCAGGTCCAATTAAGAATACAAATAATTTGATCATTTAAGCAAATGTTTTATTTAATTGAAGGAAAATTAACAAAAGGAAATCCATGTTAATTTCGCAACAGTTTTCACGTCCCTTACGGCAGCGCCACCGTCGACGGAACCATGGCCACCGAAACCTTCTCCTTCGGCGGTACAGATGTACCAGGCTTAGCTTTCGGATGCAGCAACTCGGAAATGGGATCTGCGACGATGTTCTCCAGCCTTTTGGGTATGGGTGGAGGACAGCTCTCCCTCATCTCTCAGCTCGGCTCGGGGAAGTTTTCCTACTGCCTCACTACTCACGACCAATCGGCCATTACCAGCCCTCTTCTCCTCGGATCCCTAGCAACTCCAGATCCTTCTGCTCAGTCCTCGCCTTTAGTCCAAAACCCTAATATTCCAACTTACTACTACCTATCTCTCCAAGGAATAACTGTGGGTTCTACTCTGCTCTCCATCCCGAGCTCCGCCTTCGCAATTTCATCAGATGGCAGAGGCGGGCTTATCATCGACTCGGGCACAAGCTTCACCATTTTGGTCGCTTCTGCCTATGATGTTTTGTCGCAGGAGTTTCAGTCGCAGATGGGATTGCCGGTGGTGACGGGGCAAAACTTTGATCTCTGCTTCTCGACTCCTTCGGATGGGTCTTTTCAGCCGCCGAAGCTTATATTTCATTTTGAAGGCGCTGATATTGATTTGCCGGAGAATAACTATTTGGTTCGTGATGGGGGAGGCAGCGTAGTGTGTCTGGCTATATTGCAAGGCAGCGAAGATCTCTCCCTGTTTGGCAACTTTCAGCAGCAGAACATGCATATTGTTTATGATGTCCAAGAAGGGAAGATTTCCTTCGCGCCTGCTCAATGCGAAAACTTGTAGACACCTGCAAAGCAAAGCGTTGGAGGTTGGATGTGGCCTGTGGGAAATTAAAAGCGTTAATTATCTGGCAGTTTAATGTTGATGTGGCTCTATTCATTGGTAAAGTAATAAATTATTATTATTGTATTTGTATGCGTCAGGTATGTTGCGTCTGTTTTACTATGGGATATTATAGTAATTTTCTTGATTATCTCGTACCAACTGGAAAGCAGAAAAGCAAAAAAAAAAAAAAACGTTAAAAAAGATCCAACATTAATAATCGGATGAGAATACTTTTTAATTGAGAGCATTTATAAATTGATTCCATGCTATTTAGGTTGTTTGTTCAGTGTAAAATTTAATTGTGTTGATCAACCAAATTCTGCTGACTCAAAACTCAATTCCGTCAGCCCAGCACGTCGGGGCTTGTAGGGGGGCTCCTATGCCTGGGTTCAAGGGATTTATCCCTTCCCAAAAACAAATTCATATAGCATTAGAGCACTATATATACGTAAGCACTGGGTGACGTAGTCTATAATTGGACATAAAAGGGTAGTGTTGTGGCACTATAGGTCAAATAAGAAACAGAGACTAAAGTGCTGGGACATTCCAAAGACTCGCGCCGTGAAATGTTGTATAATTTTCTTTTTCATTTTTTTATGTTTAACTTGAAGGATTGCGTCTCTTACTTTTAGTATTTTTTAAGTCCAATAGGGCCTTTAGAGTTAATCACAAGTTATTTAGAATTGAAAAAAAATTAAGGTGATTATTTAAGTAAATTTTGCTTCACATAGGTTTTGTTTGGAATAATTTTTATATTGCTTTTTAAAACTATTTCCTCGTACAAAATTCTTTTTGAAATAGAAAATTTATTACCATAAAGATGATTTAAAAAGCAATAAAAAAATCATCCGAAATGAAGCCTTAGGTTTCGTTTGGAATATATTTCTTACTGTTTCTTACAATAGTTTTTCTAATGCAAAAAATTTTAATTTTTTTACTAAAAAAATTATTTTAAGTAGTAAAATAAAACTTTAATGATCTAATTGTAAGAAAACTAAAATTATGATTAAGGACGTTATATTTAGGGTGCGGTTGTAAATTTTATGCCATGAAAATTTCAAGAATCACGCTCAAACTCAGATCATAGTAGTTGGTTGAAGACTCAAGATCACACCCTGCCAAAAAATAATAATAATAAGAAATATCATACATAGATACGTTCTATAAGGTTGACCTGCAAATAGCTTTGCATAGCGTGTCTGTTCGGATGACAAAAAATATATATTACATCATAAAAAACTGGCTTGATTGAGCATGAATTTTGTTATAAAGTCAAGACCATTAAATTTCTATTTTAGCTAACTTATACTTGAATCAAAAGTCTTGATGAGAGGAACCCACTAAGGATTTGATTGGAACGGTTTTTTACTGTTTTTTAAAGTAGCTTTTTAGCACAAATATTATAATTTTTTAACTAAAAAGCTGCTTTAAAAAAAGTAAGAAAGCCATCCCAAACGAAGCCTAAAAATGATCTGATCTAAGTCCAAATAAGCTCAAATAAAACACATGAAGTGCAATTAGAAACTTTAAAACATTGATTGAATGATCATATGATCTTCAAAATTTATATGCTTAATTATAGCCAATATGAAGAATTCATTGAGCCCATTATCATTTAATTATAGCACTATTAAGACACTTAAATATAGAAAGAATGACCTTATCATGGTAATAAATTTGGGTTTGATGGAGTGTTCATGATTTTTTGTTTTATTTGCACTCTAAAAAATCTATAAATAAACACCAACTATCTATATAAGGACCCTTATTTGAGTTTCAAGGGAGTTCAGAGACTTGTTTAATCATGATCAAAGCTCCAACTAAGTTCCCCCATCAAACCATCACTATCAGACAATCAATTGATTGTCACTGTCAAACCACAACCTAATTAACCACTGCCATCAGGTCATCACACCCAGACCATTGTTGTCAAGTGTTAATGTTCGACTGCCATTGGCTGATCAGTATTATCATATTACATTCACATGTTTACCATAGTCGAACTACTGCAACCTGACTATTTTCATCAATCAACCGCAATCACCGAACCACTTTCGACACACAATTGTCAAAATATTGTGATCAACCATCACTGTAGGATCGTCTACCTCTAATCGTCTTTGCAAACATTATTAGATTGTTGTCATTAAAAAGCCACCATCATACCACTAATACCCAATCTCCATCATGATCATCACTGTCTAATCATCATCATCATCAAATTGTTGTCACTCGGCCACAATTGTTCAAATGCCCCACACCCTTTGCCGACAAAGTGACATTTTTAGCTGGCTACTCATATTTTGTACTCTTGTTTTCTTTAATTTTTGGTTGAGCAAATGTTTTTAATAAACTCTTTGTTGAAAACCAAATGAGGAAGATCTTCTTGAGAGATCTTCTTGCAAGATCTAGAGAGGGAGAGAGGAGGGAGAGGGGAGAAGAACCGTGTGCCAAAAATACGATAGTTCTTTATTCCCTTGGCGGCCTATTACAAGCCTAAAGACCTCCTATATATAGGCACAAAAGCCATACAAAGAGCAACACTATTGGCCATAGATGCCAAACAAGACACCTACACAAAAGCAAACCTAAATCTAGGAACAAATATCTAACAATCTCCACCTTGGTCCTAGATTTTACAAAAATAAAAGATAACCACTGTTCTTTAAAGAACAGCCAAAGAATGATCCTGTCGGTCTCCTCCGCCAAAAGCGTCCACCGACATTCTAGCTCCACCTCCCGACAGATCTCCTGTCGCATTGCGTCCAACACAGCCAATCTCGAGCACCCCTAGCCCGGCTTCCGCACCCTGTGCATCCACTTGCACCCTGCGCCTCAGTGCCCGCGCCCTGCTCATCCAGCCCACGTCATACTCCTCAAGCCCGCGCCCGCGCCTTGCACCCATGTGGTCTGTCACCGACCACATCTTGCACGTATCCACCCGTGTAGCGAGCCTTGCGCCTTCACCTGCGATCCCCTCGTCACCAGTGCCCCGCGCTCCTATGCGGCCTCCTCGTGCACTGCACAACCTCGCATCTCCAAGCACCCCGCACTTTCAACCATGCTCTCCAAGAACAGCCGACACTACCTCAGTGTCTCCCAGACTCCACCTGAAGTCCAAAACTCCATCTCCAAAGAAGCTCTGATCTCTTCTTTAAAGATCTGAACCGATCTTTAATCAAAGAACAAAGAAAATATGCTTCCAACCAGTTCAAGAACGACACCCGAAAGCCTCTGTGCTCGGCCCGATTGGAGCAGCCTCCAATCTTCTCCGATTTCTTACACACGGACCAGCCATTTGCTGATCCCGAGATCCAGAAAGTCTCTGCTTCAAACGTCGCGCCCAGCCTTCAGCTCCTTACGGAACTTCTTGCTGAAGTCGCCTCCCATTCTTCTAGGATCACACGAGCTAGTCCTCTTCCCATCCGGCTTCAAGATCCGTTTATGACTCAAGAAGCCGCACCATACGCTTCTGACATCCCAGCCAGAGAATCCCAGCCGGTCTCCTATGCTGAGTCTGGCTTCACCGCCTGCCACGCGTGTTCGCGAGCGCCAGGCACCTTCGGCCTCTCGGACTGCACATACCCAGCTCCGATTCCGACGAGACAGCCCTCTTTCGCCTCGACCACCTTCGTCAGTCACTCCCTTCGCCGAGCCGAAGTCGCCTCCGATCGCGGCACCGGCAGCCACCACCTCCTCTCTCTGACATAACACCTTCCTCCTTGATCGCCACCAGAGCTCTGACACCAGATTGTTGAAAACCAAAGGAGGAAGATCTTCTTGCAAGATCTAGAGAGGGAGAGAGGAGGGAGAGGGGAGAAGAACCATGAGCCAAAAATCTGTAGTTCTTTATTCCCTTGGCTGTCTATTAAAAGCCTAAAGACCTCCTATATATAGGCACAAAAGCCATACAAAGAGCAACACTATTGGCCATACATGCCAAACAAGTCACCTACACAAAAGCAAACCTAAACCTAGGAACAAATATCTAACGCTCTTATACAATAAAATTATATTAGCAGTGTCATTATTTTTGCTATTATAAGCCTTTAATCTAAAAATTGTACCATCTCTAAAGATCTTTCATTTATTTATTTATGTATTGGAAATTGATGCAGAACTATGATAAATTTTTTTCAGCATGTGAAACATTTCATACGAATTATTTCAGCATTGAATTCACGATAGAAATCATTAATGGAGGCACCAATCAATATCTCATTTACTATTTATTTTTCTATACTTCTGATCGCCAATTATGTTTAGCACTCCAAAAATATGTCATTTTTTAATTTTTGTTTGGAACAATTTTATTATTATGTTCAATTTTTTTTATTAAAATATTAGTAAAAAAAATTTGTCCCAAACGAATCCTTTGTGCACGCCGAAGAAAGTTCAACAAAGCAGTATGGAGCCCATCTGGACGAAGACTCCGTCTGCTATTCTTTTCCACTTTTTGAACTATCAGAATTTTTTTGTGACGAGAAAGCATTGTCCTTAGGCCAGTGTAAACCCCGGTCGACCTAGCATGCAACCCACACCAATTTACGTGGGGAACTATCAGAATTGTTGATGACTGTAATGACCCCTATTCATTTTATTTTTTTTTATAATTCTGGTTGCTTGAAATGTTAAGCACCATCAAAATAATAAGCATTAATTAATGAATGCCGAAGAAATTTCAGCAATGAATTATTGATTCCATCTTGACGAAGACTCCGCGCAGTAGCCTTTGCCACATTTAGAACTGAAGGTCCTCTTAGAATTGTTGATCCTTATGATCTGTATCACATCTATGGCCCTTCTTCTCCCCATCCTCCTATCCTTGTTCGCCTCCCCTTCCGCTGCAAACCCACTCTACTCTATCTGCGCTTCAGGAAACTTCACCAGGAATGGCACCTACAGCTCAAACCTCAACCACCTCATGTCTACTCTCTCTTCTAACGCCTTCGCCACCGGCTTCGCCACCTCCACGACCGGCATAGTCCCTGACTGTGTCTATGGACTTGCCCTCTGCCGCGGCGACACCGACATCGCCAACTGTCGCTCCTGCATCTCTACGGCCATTTCCGACATCCAACAGCTCTGCTCAAACAACATGGAAGCCACCATATGGTACGACTACTGCCAACTCCGCTACTCCAATCAGGACTCCTCTACGGCCCCGACGTCATTACTAGTGCCCAAAGCTTGTTAGTTAATGGCCAGAATGTCTCGGCAGACCGACTTCCGAGGTTTGAAATCCTGAAAACCGAACTTATGGGAAACCTGTCAGATCTGGCCATTAGAAACACATCTCAGCTCTTTGCCACCGGCGAGGCAGCGTTCACGGCTGCAGATAATATATACGGTCTGGTGCAGTGCACGCTGGACCTGACCGTAGGCGGCTGCCGGACATGCTTGCAGCGACGGTGGAGTTCAGCAAGACTAACCTGCAAGGGGAGAGGGGAGGAAGAGTGTTGGGGATGTGGTGTAATATAAGGTATGAATTGTACAAATTCTACGACGGGACGGCCATGCTTCAGCTTTCTTCTGATCAGTCGCCATCGTCACCATTGCCCACAAATGCCTTAATGTCAAATGTTACCCATCCACCGGCTGATTTATCTCATGGAGGTATGTTCTTTTAGCTCCGTGTTGGATGCCATTTTGCAAAAGAAACAAGATGGCTCCACTATGAAAACACGTATTAATAACTACAAGAAACGTAAGACTTCCATCTAAACTACGAATTCAGCAAACATATAGTCGAATTGACTGTCTCTGGGAGAGGAATCCAACGACAACCCAACTATACTAAAATCCATCAAATATGAACCCAAATGGGTCCAAATCAATGGCCTGAAGCCTATTTAGAATATTCAAAATATTAATTGGATGATCAAATTATATTCAAATATGACATGCTTCTAGTCAAATTGAGTGGCTCGACGAGACAAATCTAAACGGCCCAATAGCACCAAATTATGACATCATTAAGATATTTAAATACCCAATAAATAGTCTATGATCAATAGAGTCAATATCATCCGTCCAATTCGAAACACATCCATTATGTTCTTGATCTTCTCCCTATTTACTAGTCATGTCACTATAAAAAAATTATAAATAGACATCTCCTTCTTAACAGGAAAAAGAAAGAGATAAAGAACGAAGGATCTCTATTACTTTCTAAAGCTTGCACTATCCGGCCGCCTACCACCGCCAAACTTCCACCTAGCCGCCGACCTCCGCCAGAATTCCACCTAGCTGACGAACGTCGTCAAACTTCCTTCGAATCACTATATCTCACCGACCATGTCGCTCGGCGACTATGATATTTTTGACCACCGTCGCACGACTACAATCCTTCCGACAATCATCGCCCACAGATTACGATCTTTTCGTCCACCATCGCCCAATTACGATCCTTTCGACCATTATCATCAACCGACTACGATCCTTCTAACTACAGTCGCATGACTACGGTCCTTCCGACCACCATCGCAAGCTGACTACGGTCCTTCAGACCACCATCGCTCACCAATTATGTCAGCAGTCATGTCCTTTGCCAACAACGGTTCTTCGGACCAACGTTTCTCGGCGACCATGTTGCCTGCTGACTATGTTTCTTCAAACCACCATCACCCGTTGTCCATGTCACCCGCCACCTACGATCCTTTTGACCACCGTTGCCCGCCAATCATGGTCCTTCCTTCCACCATCGCACTCCGGCAACAGTCCTACTAACCAAACAAACATTCCAACACTCTCTTAAGAACAAAGGTCATATTATTCTCGAACTATGTACTATGCTCTATATAATGTATAAATCGAGCCAAGGCCTTTTCCTCAAGGAAGGTCCCATTTGTAATCAACTATCAATATTAGTGAATTCATTTAAATTGAATAAGTCCCAGTGGTTATCTCCCTTTTCAGGGGTTTCTACATAAAAGTTATGTTATTTCATATAAACATTGTATATCACAATCTTTTGTATGTTTGTTTGTTATATCTTCATATAAAGCTAAGACATTAAACTTTATATTTCTCTACCGCTGTGAATATTTTAGAACACAACAATTTAGTGTCATCTGTAGGAAAATGATTTTTGGCTGGGAGGGCAACTTTTACTCCAACCTCAAAAAGTCATTTACATCAATGTCCTGGACATGGTTGAAGTAACATATTCTCTTTGCCAAAATTTATTATCAGATTTGAAAGAAGCCTTGCATTATTAAGGATAACCTTATGCATTGTTTCATCGCCTCTCCAGCATCAATCATTGTTGCATCTATTTCATGGGAATCAAATGTGGACTGGGGGCAATCTTGACTACAATTGTGGCTAAAAAAATTTATTTAATATTTTTAACATCCAATATAATATCTTTGGAACTCCCAGCAAATGTCATAATGCTTATGATAAATTTCAAGCTCTTTATAATTCCTGACTGGACTTCTAAACCTTATGCAAGGTCATAGTCTCGATCTCAAAAAGATAGTAATAGTCTAAAGATAGACAATTCTACACTGTTGATTCAGGATAGACGTGTCATTCACCCCCTCCCAATCAATACATAATTAATCACATGGAGATTCAATTCAACCTCTTGTACACGAGTTGACGTCATCAAGCAAGACTTTGACAAATAACCTCAGATAAGTCAAACATCCTTGGTAGATTCCCACAACCTCTTCTATAAAGGTTAATGTTACCGAGCAATGCTCTGAAACACAACTTCGAATAGGTTACACATTTTTAGCTGCTTCCCTTGACCTCTTTTATGTAAGTTAAAATTATTGAGCAATGCTCTGACAAATAATCTCAAATAGGTCAAACTTTCATAGTAGCTTCCCTTAACCTCTTCTATACAGGCTAACGTCATCGAGTAATACTCTAACAAACAATCTCAAATAGGTCAAACAACATTAATAGATTCCTTTGACATCTTCCATATAAGTTAACGTAGTCTAGTAATGCTCTGACAAATAACTTTGGATAGGTCAAAAATTCTTGATGGATTCCCTCGGCCTCTTCCATAGATGTTAATGTGATGAGGACATCGTCAGCATTTTCGATGCCGGAGATCGATGGCCACGAGCATGAGTTGTATTTTCATTATTTTATGTAGTAGTTTATTTTTATTTTATGTTTTTCCATTTTTGCCCTTATGGGTATTTGGTCGCTATTGTAGCCCAAGGGGCATTTTAGTCTTTTGCATTCTTTGTCATTTTGAGACCTATTTATATGGCCCTCTTCTTATGTAATAGGAGTTTTTTTTTTTTTGATGAAATGAAAATTCGCTCTTTGTTCTCTTTGTGAGTTCATGAAACCTCTAAAGATCTCTTTGTGAGTTCTTGAAGATGAGACCATCGGAGATCTCTTTGTGAGTTCTACCGGTGGATTGGTGTTCAAGGTTTGTCATTTGAAATTTCTTTGTTCTTCTACCCAATCTTTTCTCCCCCACTTAGCCGAAATCCCCTTCTTTTTCTCAATTCCCCACCACCACCCAAGCTCCACCGCCGGCCTCCCTTGGCCGGCCTAGCCACCGGCGGTCTTCCCTGCGACCAAGCAGCCGGCCTTCCCACAGCCACTCCACGTCTGACCACCAGCAACCCGTTTCAAAATTTGAACTTCAATGCAAAACCTTAATTCCTTTCCTATTCTACAGCCCCTTCTATTAGGAAAGTTAGCCTATTTTATTTCTTCTCATTTAACGAAAGAATTCCAACATCTCTAAAGGCAAGCTAATGAGGAAATCTTCCTGTGATAGCAAACCTGATAATTAAATGTCAGATTTAATAATTCCCTGATTTTCTCAGGAGAGGCCACGTCATTAATCTGATGGCTCTCTCAACTCCTCATGGGGCTGGCCGCCTCCTCCTCTTTTCTCTCTCCAATCCCCACTTAATTACTACTTAAATGCCTCTTTAATTCCCCTCCCTCTCTTTCTCTTATTTTAAATTTCAAATCTGAAATGGAAACTAAAGCCGCAGTTTTATTTGGAATCTGAAGTAAACTTCAGATTTGGAAATTAAAGCCTGCTGTCCTGCACCATTGGAGACCTAGAATTGCTGTCCAAACACTTCCAGCACCCGATAACAGCTGTCCAAGACTTGTATAGGCATTATATGCTGCCGTCCAGACCACCTTAAGGACCAAACTGCTGTCCAGGCTTTCATAGTGGCGGATCAGACAATCCTAGCTGCTGCACAGTGAGACCACAACAGGAATATTGCTGTGATTGTTGTCCAGCAGGCCTCTGACCACCATTCAGAATGTTTCTAGACTACATCGACTGTATCCAGTACGTCTTAGTTGACGTGATCGACGAGTAAAGGTCAAAGGGACATCGGATCATCATTGGACGACAATCATCCTCCACCACTCCGGCCACCTATCCAAGAACGACGATCCTAGGTTCCTTCTTCCTCGGAGCGACCTCGATTCTAATGTAGAGACTCTTCTTCCGCTAAAGCCTAAACTATTTGAGCGTATGGGCTCCAAAGGTGAAAGCTCTCTTTATTAAATCATGGATTCTTGTTTACTGTCGTAGCATGCAATTATTTTTGGTGTTTTCTTAAATTGTTTGGTTAATCGATGTCACTATTCGTTGCCTAAACGAGTTAAAAACTAAGAGTTCTAAGGATCACTCTTATTATAAATGATAATTTTATTTTGGGTTATTAAGTTACAATTGTTCTCTTTAATTTCTTAAAGTAACTCCTCCATCGCATTTTGTTTCACATCATAACGTCATCAGGAAATGCTTTGAAAAACAACCTCAAATATGTCAAACATCCTTAGTGGATTCCCCCGACCTCTTCCATACATGTTAATATCATCGAGCAATATTCTAACAAATAACCTATAAAATGTCAAACATTCATAGTGATTCCTCAACCTCTTCCATGCAAGTTAACATCATTGAACAACGCTCTGAAAAATAATCTCATATAGGTCAAACATCCATAATGTATCCCTTTGACCTCTTTTATACATGTTAACGTCATCGAGCAATGCTCTGACAAATAATATCGGATAGGTTAAACATCCTTCATGGATTCTCTGAGCTCTTTTATATAGGTTAACGACATCGAGTAATACTCTAACAAATAATCTCGAATAGATCAAACATTCTTAGTTGCTTCCCTCAATCACTTCCATACAGGTTAACATCATCGAGCAACGCTTTAACAAACAACCTTGGATATGTCAAACATCATTGATGGATTCCCTCGATTTCTTCCACAAATGTTAACATTTTCGAGCAACGCTCTGATAAATAATCTCAAATATGTTAAACATCTTTGATGAATTCCCTCGACCTCTTCCACATCAATTAACGTCATCGAGCAATGCACTGACAAATAACCTCGGATATGTTAAATAAATATGATGGATTCCCTCGACCTCTTCTACACATGTTAACAATATCAAGCAATACTCTGACAAACAATCTCGAATATATCAAAATCCTTTATAGATTTCTATCAGTCTCTTTCACATAAGTTAACGCAATCAAGTAATACTTTGGTAAACAATTCAGACATGCCAAACATTTCCTTTGGATTTCTCTCAACCTCTTCCACATAAATTAACGTCGTTGAGCAACGCTCTGATGAACAACCTCAATAAGATTAAACATTCTTAGCCGATTCAATCGACCTCTTCTCAACTGCATTTTGAAGCATTTCTTTAATCTTATCATTCAAGGAATGATTGAAGCCTTGATAAGCCTCCACTCAATTGACAATATTATTGTGTAAGCAGGCTACTAACATGACACACTACTTCAACCCCTTCCAATGGGCTATCCGATGTCTACCTTCGTCAATATGGATGCATACTACATTCAGTAAAGCACAAGTTGACCATCACCATCATCGATCATTCGCCTAATGACCATTATGGGTCCTTTGCCTTTCGACCACCATCATTACCCCTTCACCTCTTGTCAGCCACCATTGGCCCCTCGCTCGACACCATTAGAAACATACCCTTTAGTCATCCCCATTAAAATGTCGAATAATTGCCTCTATTAGACTGTCATCATTTGACATGTAACAAAGTAGTAGAAAGCCACTGATATGTAAAGGAGCTTGAGGGAGAAGATTCCTTATACACAATAATGAAAAGCCTCTAACATGTGAAAGAATTTGAGGGAGAAGGTTCCTTCTACAAAAAGAGGCACTGTAATTGATAGGGGATGCCGCCTATTCAAGATAGTGGGGGTCTTTGTTGTAAGAAGGTTGGAGGAAGAAATGAGAAGAAAGAAGGAACAAATTTCCATTATCCCCAGGGGGTATTTATACTTGAAGAAGGGGGAGAAAAGAATATACTGGAAATTAAAAAAAAAATCTAAAACAACTAGCTAAACCACCCAAATACTAGTGGTTTTATGCGCCAGACAGCGTGGGTAAACTAAACGACGGCATGGGCAGCGGAGTAGGGACTGCGCTGGTAGCTAGGCAAGAACTGACAAATAACCTCGGATATGTTAAATAAATATGATGGATTCCCTCGACCTCTTCTACACATGTTAACAATATCAAGCAATGCTCTGACAAACAATCTCGAATATATCAAAATCCTTTATAGATTTCTATCAGTCTCTTTCACATAAGTTAACGCAATCAAGTAATACTTTGGTAAACAATTCAGACATGCCAAACATTTCCTTTGGATTTCTCTCAACCTCTTCCACATAAATTAACGTCGTTGAGCAACGCTCTGATGAACAACCTCAATAAGATTAAACATTCTTAGCCGATTCAATCGACCTCTTCTCAACTGCATTTTGAAGCATTTCTTTAATCTTATCATTCAAGGAATGATTGAAACCTTGATAAGCCTCCACTCAATTGACAATATTATTGTGTAAGCAGGCTACTAACATGACACACTACTTCAGCCCCTTCCAATGGGCTATCCGATGTCTACCTTCGTCAATATGGATGCATACTACATTCAGTAAAGCACAAGTTGACCATCACCATCATCGATCCTTCGCCTAATGACCATTATGGGTCCTTTGCCTTTCGACCACCATCATTACCCCTTCACCTCTTGTCAGCTACCATTGGCCCCTCGCTCGACACCATTAGAAACATACCCTTTAGTCATCCCCATTAAAATGTCGAATAATTGCCTCTATTAGACTGTCATCATTTGACATGTAACAAAGTAGTAGAAAGCCACTGATATGTAAAGGAGCTTGAGGGAGAAGATTCCTTATACACAATAATGAAAAGCCTCTAACATGTGAAAGAGTTTGAGGGAGAAGGTTCCTTCTACAAAAAGAGGCACTATAATTGATAGGGGATGCCGCCTATTCAAGATAGTGGGGGTCTTTGTTGTAAGAAGGTTGGAGGAAGAAATGAGAAGAAAGAAGGAACAAATTTCCATTATCCCCAGGGGGTATTTATACTTGAAGAAGGGGGAGAAAAGAATATACTGGAAATTAAAAAAAAAAATCTAAAACAACTAGCTAAACCACCCAAATACTAGTGGTTTTATGCGCCAGACAGCGTGGGCAAACTAAACGACGGCATGGGCAGTGGAGTAGGGACTGCGCTGGTAGCTAGGCAAGAACTGCGCGGGCAGTAGACAGGGACTGCACAAGGAGCATGCGGGGACAGCGCAGGTGGCTGAATAGCTGCGAGCGAGTAGCAGCAGGCGCGTCGCTCGCACAGGCCCGCCGAAGGTGGGCAAGCAGTCGGCCAATTCGGCCGCCAAGTTGGGTCCGGGCTCAATTTCGGCCCAGACAGTCATATTAAGATTTTGTTTAGTCTTCGAAACCATTTTTTGATGTTTTGGTTACAATTTCAATACTTTTAGAGCCCAACAGAGTCTATACAGTCAATTTCGAGCAATTTCAAAAGCTTTAAAATAAAAAAATTTTATACTTTTCTGCCCAATCGATACACCAACTTCAGGACATGCTAAATTTATGAATAGAGGTATTTTACTTGGTTCACGACCACGATTGGATATCCACGTTGACGTTCCGAAATTGGACGCACATCATAATTACTCAAAATTATAATTTTTCATTGGAATAATTTGAAGAGCTTTGACACATATTTTTAGACTGCATATTTTGTTGTCCAAAAATATGAGGCAATTAATATATCATTAAAAATTTATCTTAATGGAGCACAAATCTCAAGAAAAATTTTAATTGGAAACTTTCAAAATTAAATTTGGAGCCATTCAAACTCCGATTTCAACAATTGTATAGTCGAACTGAATGTCTTGAAAGGATGAACCCAACAACATCAAATTTTAAGGGGAAGAGGAAGAGATGAAAAATTAAGGATCTATATTATTTTCTCAAGCTTTTATCGCTCGCCGCGTATCGCCATCAGACTTCCAACAGACCGCCAACTATCGCCAGACTTCCACTTGGCCGCCGACCACCGTCGAACTTCCTTCCAACCACTGTCGCTCACAGACCATGTCACCGCCGACTAGGGTCTTTCTGACGGCCATCGTCTGACTACAGTCCTTTCGACCATCGTCGCCACTAATTATGGTCCTTCTGACCACCATCGCCTAACTATGTTCTTTCAGACCACCATCACCCGATCACGGTCCTTCCAACCACCGTCGCCCGACTACGATCTTTCGACCACCCTCTCCTGACTACGGTTTTTTCGACCACCATTGCACAACTACGATCCTTTATACCACTGTCGCTTGTCGACTAAGATCTTGCTGACCACCGTTGCTCACCGACTATGTTGCCCGCCGACTACGATCCTTCAGACCAATGTTTACCACAGTTGCTCACCGACTATGTTGCTCGTCGACTACGATCCTTCCAACTGCCGTCACTTGCCAACTACGATCCTTCCCACCATCGTTGCCCACCGACCATCGTCCTTCCGTCAATGGTTGCCCACCAACAACGGTCTAGTTACAACCAAGCAAACAGGCCAACGCTTTCTTAAGAATGATTGTCATATTATTCTCCAACTATGTATTGTGCTCTATACAATGTATACATCGAGCCAAAGCCTTCTCCCCAACGAAGGGACTTATTTGTAATAAACTATAAATATTAGTGGATTCATTTAAACTAGGCAAATCCTTGTAGTTTTTTTTCCTTTTTCGGGATTTTCACGTAAAAATATGGTCTCATATGAAATCTTTTATTTGTGTGTACTGGATCTTTGTACAAAACTAAGATGTTAAACTTTATATTTCTCTACCACTGTGAATATTCCAAGATGCAACAAAAATATATTATATTTTTTTAATAATTACAAGATGCATATCTTTATTACAAATGCACTGAATTTTATTTTATTTTTTTGTCTTTAAGATAAAAAAGCACTATCCCTAAACCCTTGCACAGTAACTAGTTTACAATTTTTTGTATTTTTGAATCTATTTCTACCAATATGTTCCACCCATAAATGCAGGAAGCAATACAGTGCGCACTATTATGTCAATCACTCTTTCTCTACTAGTTGTGCTTGTTCTCCTTACAGTTGCTTGTTTGTACTTCAGGAGAAGAAGGTCAAAGATGAAAATACCTCGTAAGATTTTTCTATCGTCCAACTTTATTTATATTTGTTTATAGGATTGGTATTTTTTTACATTTAAGTGAAGCTAGCATAATATATACCAATCGCATATATTCACGATGTTGCAGCCATCCCTTATGCTTGTTCTAATAATTGTAGGAATCCTGTGTATTCCAACATAATAATAATATACAACAAAAATTTATCAACTAAGAAATAAATAAAGCAGCACAGATCTTATAGATCTCATGAATCTTGTAGAAAGGAGCATTCTGACTTTTTGAAGTGTGGTTGGGAAGCAGTACTAAATTTTTTTATGGATTGTATAGGCTTCACTATTTTAACAGTTAGGGTTTGGATGTGAAATGAAAATTTTAGATTGGAAAAAATTATAATAATTGGTTACTATGTATATCTTTGTAGGTGAGGATATCCCTGAGCAGCTTATAAATGTGGAATCTTTATTTTTTGATCTATCTACACTTGAATTAGCAACATCAAATTTCTCAGAACACAACAAGCTTGGTGAAGGTGGCTTTGGATCAGTCTACTTGGTAAAATGTTAACTTGCTAATTGGTCATTATCTATATTATTAGAAAGGATAAGAAACCAAGAGTAATACTGGTATTAAGTCTCAAAATTAGCATTTACCCATCTTTAACTTTTGATTTCTTCATAGGGATTACTACCTGATGGACGAGAAATAGCAGTGAAGAGACTATCAACGAGATCGAGGCAAGGGATTAATGATTTAAGAAATGAAATGATTCTAATTGCTAAACTCCAACACAAAAATCTTGTGAGACTACATGGTGTTTGTCTGGAAGATCAAGAGAAGTTGCTCGTTTACGAATATGTGCCCAACAAAAGCTTAGATACCATTTTATTTGGTAATAATTTATTACTTTGTGTCTTTTTTAAATACTTATTGAATATCTAGTAAGTTTTCAAACAGTGTAGCTCATCTCACTTCAATTGGTTCATTCTTACTTTAATAAAGATATATTTTTTATCTTTTTTATCATTAACGTCAAACTGACTTACCAATATTATTTTTGCATGCAATAATAAATAGTGGTATATTTGTGTGTGGAATAGATCCAATAAAAAGTAAGCTTCTAGACTGGGAAAAGAGATACGAGATAATAGAAGGAATTGTTCGTAAGCTTCTACTTTACCTACATGAAGACTCCCAACTCAAGATCATTCACAGAGATCTTAAAGCTAGCAATATATTGTTAGATGCAGACATGAACTCAAAAATTTCAGACTTTGGATTGGCTAGGCTTTTTGGAGTAGATGAGACTCACGAGATGACAAGTTGTGTTGTTGGAACATAGTAAGTTGAATAAATCTCAAACTTTTAAATTTCAGTAGTTTTACTATAACAATGTCAAAAAATCATGAATTTCTCGCAGTGGGTATATGGCACCAGAATATTTAGAGCATGGATATTTCTCAGTCAAGTTTGATGTCTTTAGTTTTGGAGTATTAATGTTACAGATTATAACAGGAAGGAGTAGAAATGGTTTCTTCGATGATGAGTTTTCTAAAAACCTATCAAGTTATGTATGTATCTCCTTTCAATGTTCTGAAACATATTACAAAAAAAAAAAAAAAATACATATTTCTATTCTAAACAATATACATATTGATTCATTTTGAACAGGTGTGGGAGAATTGGAACATGGGAACAATCTTAGAGATTGTGGACCCAGCTTTAGGCAAACATTTTCAAAATAGTGAAGTCATAAGATGCATTCAAATTGGACTTCTATGTGTGCAAGATGATCCAGCTAAAAGGCCTAGCATGACAGAAGTGCTTGTGATGCTTAATAGCTATTCTATGTCTCTTAAAGCTCCTTCATCCCCAGCTTTTTTTGTGGGAGGAAGTAGCACCAATAATAGTTCATGGGATGGCACTTGCAAATCTTCAAGGAAATTTATTCCAATGTCACCCAATCAAGTATCAGTTTCAGAGCTAGATCCTAGATAAGTTAGATTAAAAAGAAGGACAAATTATAAGTTAAGGTTGCTTATTTTCTAAGAGTATTGTGAGAAATTTTAATAAGAGCTCATTTGATGCATTTTGATGTTATGAGTGAAAGATAAATCATTAAAATTGAAGGACATTTGTTAGCAAATGTAAGTTAAATTTCATCCTAGAATAAATAATGAGTTTGAATATAATGATGCTGTGCAAAATAATTTTCTTACTATTTTTATTAAGTATTTCAATTATGATGGCAAAATGCACTAGAAGATCCTCACATCATTTTTTTTCAATCCTTATTGCTTTATGAAATACGTAAGCATGAATGTAAATTACATTTTCTAAGTGCTTTCAATCATTTAAAACACTTAATAATTTATGTATCTAAATCTACTTATTGGCATCACACTTTTTTAATCATGGTTATGCATTGTGTTTAAAGTGCAACATCATATAGTGCTTTGTATGTTCATGAAATAAAGATGATGAGAAGAGGAAAATTTTAGAATTTTGTAACATGTTATTGTAGAATGATATAATAAGAGCAAGCTTATATTACTAGATTATATGAAAATCATTTACATGTATAATTGTAATGAATTTAATAATAGATCACAAAATACATAAAACAAAATAACACATGAAAAGAAAAAATGGAATGAAATTTACAAGCACATGAGCTTTTGAGCACAATTTTTTAGTCAAATAACACATAAGTAGACTTAAATATAATAAGCTTATACTAAAGCACCACAGAAGTGTTATATGATTCATTGATTTAAAGGAAGCTAAGTATAAAACCTTGAAGCAATGTTAAGTGTTGACCTAACTTATAATTATCAAAGAGTAATAACTTGATAAAAGTCATTATAGAAAATCATAACCTTAGTATTTGTTCCCAAAATGGATTTATCATTTGCTCTGAACCAGGGCTCTCCCTTTACGTGTATTTGATCAATAAGCTCAACTTCTCTATTTCATTCTCAAGCTATCTCAACCTTTTTAATGATCACCCTCCACCACCTCTGCACTTATAATGAACAACCTCCACATCCTTTCCCTTTTTAACCTACCTCTCCAATGTGACTATACAAGGAAGGCATTGCTCCCTTTTTGAAGTTGTGAAATCACTTTTTAGGATTGTTTATGATAATGTGATTTAGAGTATCATAGTTCCTATGTAAGGAGAAAATACTAAAAGAATTTGAGCTTATCTAAAAATAGGGTAGCACTCCCCTCATTTGTAAAACAACAGCTTAAATGTTTATGAAGTATTGACAAAGTTCTTTTTTTTTAGTTTATTTATTTTTCCATTCTCATTTTTAAGTGCCTTACTCTTCAAATTCCTTTGTCTTCTTGTATAGTAACTTTACCATTGTTAATTGTGGCATCGAAGCCTCATTTTCATACCAAGTGTTTTTTTATATGAATATCATGGGTAATGTTACCTCTCTTTTTGTGGCCAATTTTGTCTTCATAAACACATTTATGGCTAAATTTGTCACATCAACTTTAGTTGTTTGCTCTACTGTATCCATGTGTTAATATGAAACCTACTTATATTATGCTAATATATTATCTTAAGGGAATAATGATGGTTTTTAAAGAATTAAAAAGCAAGTCATGCTCCAATCTCACAATTTATGGTTATTTATGATGAAAGATATCAAGAGTCAAAAAATTGATGCCAAGTATGGATAGAAAAAAAAGTAAGAAACTCAATGCTAGCATAGTGATGGATAAAAGACCAATAAGTGGGAATCATCAAACAAACGCAAGAAGTATATTTCCCAAGTATATGATAACTATAAAGTTCAAGGATGCATATAAATTTTTAAAAAGAGAATTTGAGGGGAATCCCAAGGTAAGGATTATCAAACTTCAACTCTCTTCATAGAGAGTGAAATTTTTAAAATTATATAATGATAGAATTTGAAAGAATGTTTCTCAAAATAATTATGATATGTTAAATAAATTAAAGCTTAGGATGTAAATATTATATATTAATGAGTGAAATAGAAGCTTTAATTCTATATATATAAAAAAAAATCTGATAACATATAGTTGAAATAACAAAAAGTTCAAAGATTTGACAAATCAGATCAATAATTACTGGACTATCTACTACCTCTAATGCCATTTAATATTTACTTTCATCATAAGAGTACTAAATATATATTAACATTACATGAATTTTTGTAGTGGTCTAATTTGAGAATGATATTGTATATTTGTTGCCAAATATTTTACTGGTCATATTATTAGGCTCACATTAAGAACATGATGGACATTTATAATTTCATCATATTCCAAAGTATAAGTGAGACGACATTATAATGGATTTCACGGTTTATTTTCGTAGATCCAAATAAAATCATGATAAAATTTGGTTACTAATATTATTTGTCGAATTCATAATTACCGTTGGATAACACCTGACTTTACTAGAAGATCTACCCGAAGAGCTGAAAAACTTGTGAGTCATAATAGATAGTGCAGAGGGAGAGTAGAGGAGAATTCGAGATCTCAAACAACTAGATTTTTTCTTACTAGTCAAAGAGATATTTATTTTAATATTTATTATGGGGTCTCCAATAATTGTTCCTATCATCGCTTATTTTTAAGATTTTGGGTGCTACATAAAAGGATAGATACAAAAAATAATAGATATAATAATGCTACACATATTACATGCACAATGCTACACAATACTTTATGCACCTATCATCCCCTAATTAGTGGAAGAGCTCGAATGGAGGATTTATCGCCAGGCAAGTGAGGAAATGACCAGTATACACTGGGTGAATGAGGTAGAGGGCAAGCTCCATGATAAATGGTGAGTCTATGAGTCGGTACGGAGTTGGATGGACTTTATAATGCGATGTTGATTAGCACCTACCACCCCCTAATTAGTGGAAGAACTCAGATGAATGATTTCATTGTTGGGAAAGTGAGGAAATGCCTAGTATGCATTGGGCGGACGAGGTAGAGGGCAAGCTAGCTCCATGATAATTGGTGAGTCTGTGAGCTTGTGCGAAGTTGGATGGGCTTTATAGTTGTGAATAATATGTGTTGAGTCTAGGGTCATCATGAGAGAATGGATGAGTGAACTAAGGTATCCGAGATCATATACAACGGTCATGTTGGTAGGGCGAGTTAGGAGCCCTGTGTAAGAGCCTTCGTGTAGGAAGGAGGTGACCAAGTTGAGGGAGGTCTGCCTAATTAGATGTCAACACAATATGCATAGGGTGTTAATTGGTTCAGCCAATGGTGCGATGAGGACAGTCATGGAGTATACAAAGTCATCCAACTTGTACTTAGGTAGAAACTTCATGCTTGATTACTCGGATAATTTAAAGCTGCTGACACTGAGAAACGTGAAAGACCCTCTATGCAAAATGATTTCTAATGGCGAGTATACTCATCCTACTTTTGTCGTAACATTTTCTATTTCTATTTTTTCACCTGTAAATTTTTTATGCAATAATAAAATATGTTTTATGACTACTGCTTTTTTTTGTAAGTTAATTAGTGATGTGTGAGTTTATTCATTCTCATGTTGGTGTTTTTGATATCCCTGATTTTTCATTATAAGACAAGTTTTGTGTTGTGAGATGAGTGAGTATATCATGCGAGTGCTAGGAGTAAGGTTGCTAAGATGAGTGGCAACTGACCATCATTTGAGAGTCGAATGAGTGACTTAGAGAATTTTTTAGAAAATTTTTGTACTATGTATATTCATCACTAGAGAGTTTGAATTAAATAGATTATGTAGTTCACATGCCTAATAGGCAGCGATTGGCCTAAAGGCAAGCGAGTGAGAGAATGGCTTAAGAGAAAGGAAGTTATCATGATGAGTTGAAGGAATGATTGACAAAGCTTTTTTGTGATGAGGGAGAGAAAAAAAAAAAGAAATCTTTATATTTAATATAATTTGAACATTGTCTTGAGTCCCGTGTTCAATATTTTTTTATATTTAGGCAGGGTATGGCCCCTATGGATGCGATCATCATTCAAAATTTCTTACTCTGCTACAAGCCCCTTTTTTCATTGCCTCAGCAAGTGCCTCAGGAAAGTTTGTTCATGGATGCCCTTTACAAGTACATTATAGTGTTCATAAATTTGCACGAGTTGCCCGAGTTGAGGTCACATGACAAGGCTGCTGACTTCGCATGCTACACATACTACTTTGACCAAAGGAATTTCATTGTGTGGTTGGAGTGCATCATCAAACTCTTTATTTGATGATGCACTAGTCGTCCCCTACAACCACTTTTTGCTAGGCCTCCATTTTATGCTTTGTGCTGAGCTGGAGGAGGTTTTGAACTATTATGCAGTATTCCTTACCCGGTGATTCCAAACTTCATGGATATTGTAATTTCTTTTCTCTTATACGTATGTGAGTGCGAGGCGGACACCCACTCTATTCTACCATGTCTCCACTACCAAGGAAACTAAGGACAACAATATGCAATTTTTGTCAGGCGTGATGAAGGAGACAGGCCCGGTGAATAAGTTCCATGACCTGAAATCCAAGTTAATGGTGATTCAAAATGTGTTCTCTTGGACCGTGCAGACTTACCCCATTGCTTTTACTATGAAAAAGGAGACCATATTTCCCTCTCAGTGAGAGACGAGCAAGTGCTCTTCTACACCAGGGAGAGCTACTGATAGGGGTGTCAAATATTGATCCGACCCAAAAAATTTTCAAGTTCGGGTTAAATCATTTGCCTGATGGTTCAGGTTTAACTTTCATTTTTGACCTGTTTATAAACTGGGTCAGTTTGGGCTGACCCAGAAACTAAAAATCAACATGGGTTTGACCCCCGAGCCACTGATCCGCGCACACCAGTAAGTCATGAGTTCTTTCTAGCTTCCCGCACCCATCTCGTGTTGTGTCAGGCGTCCCGCTCCCACACCCACTATGAAAATCCATAAATTTTTTATAAGATTTTTTACCTAGAATAGTCAATATTGCTATAATGTGATGATATATATGCATATGTTATTAAAATATATCGGT